AATAAACAGACGGACTACCGGAGGTAGCACTGAGCGCATAGCACAGATAGGCTACACTACTTACCCTGCAATGATCTGTCATTCGTCCCGTCCCGTCCCGTACCCCCGCACCGCAACCCAGTTCTGATGGGGCTTACAGTAACCCTCCTTCGCATCACAATCAAATAAATCTCACTCCCTGATATTCATATTATTATACACAATCCCTTACGAAAATTAGCAATGGTATTACAGTAAAAGTATAGTAGGCTAACCATGTTTTTTTTGGGCGTTTTTATTATGGTTAAACTATGGTTAGTGTAGCAAAACATGTTGTTATATTATCTTTTTATTTTTATGGCATGTATTTGTGAAAATTATTAGGCAGCCGCAGCACACACCACATAGAATAAAGCTTCACATTTCAAGGTGCTTCAGTGGACCTTAATGTTACCTGTTTTGTCAATGTTAAAATTCTTTTTAATATATCAAAAAAGTACAACAGGCTTTTACTTAAGTCTTTATCCCTTTATTAAAATTAAGCGAAACAAAATGACAAATGTTTACTTTCACAAGCCGTCAAGTATAGGCTTGTAGTAAGACAGTCCGACGACCAATACGGCTCAGTTTCTATTCGTATGTTGCTCTGTCGAGCGGCAGAAATGATTTTATGTAGGCCATTCTGAGTCAACACCATGCTTTTCCAATGAGGGAGAAAGGATTGTTTTCCCCCATGCCGACTCCGCCCACACAGCTATGACTCGACACCGATCAAGTCAAGAGCTTGTAACACTCCAAAGAGAAAGGAAAAATTGAAATCGCATCATATGACCCCTTTAAAGTGATAGGATAAAGACGAACATTTCTCATTATTATGAGATGTTAAGTCATTATTACAAGAAAGTTTCTCATTATTATGACTTAAAGAATATTTTTTTTGTACTGGCGGTAACAGGCTTCCATTTTATTTTGCAGTGTCTTGCTGCAGTCATGGTTAACAATGTGTCCTTTTCTTCAGCTGAATGGCCAAAGACGTTAACTGGCCTCCCCAGTACTTCGGGCACTACAGCCAGTGTGGTGGTCATCAGAGGGGACCGCATGTTTGTGGCTCATGTCGGGGACTCGTCTGTCGTGTTGGGTGTGAGGGAAGATCCATCTGATAAAGCCATCAAAGCTGTGGAGGTCACACAAGACCACAAGCCCGAACTCCCGAAAGAGAAGCAGAGAATTGAGGGACTGGGTGGCAGGTGAGATCTTGATGCTTGCTGACAATTTTAAGTCATCATACGAATCAATCTTTTGGATAACATGCAGTCTTAAAAAACCTCAACTAACCCACCACAAGTATATTTTTGGAAGGCCAATTAATTTCCCTTTGTTTGTGTGAGTGTAGTGTGGTGAAGAAATGTGGTGTGAACCGTGTGGTGTGGAAGAGGCCTAGGCTAACTCACAACGGCCCGGTCAGAAGGAGCACCCCGATCGATCAGATCCCCTTCCTAGCTGTTGCCAGAGCTCTGGGTAAACACTTAACTACACAGACACTCAGATATACTAAATATTGAGGAATATGTCAGGGCTCGCAAAATCGCTAGCCCGATGTCCCGAGGCTGTTGTGTTTTCCATTCGGGCTACCAAAATGTATCACCTCCCTGCCCGATGGGCTATCTTGAACAGTAATATAAAATTCATTCCTTGATTTGCGTTGTTCACTAGCTTGTAGGGGTAAAACGGATCATAGTTGATCGTTTGCACGTGTTTCTAAGTCTTGCCGATTTAAACATTCAAGTGTTTTAAACCATTCACGCGCATTCGGAGCTGCGCACAGAGAGCCGCGTTTCAGACAATGAGCGTACACAGAATTTATTCCTCTTTCGCATATCCTTGCATCTGAATGAACACATACACACAAAATTATGTCAAAATAACTGTCTTGGCAAGTATTCTTGTAAACACAGTCGGTTATGTCTTAAGTGAACGTAAACAGTGGTGAAAGAAATATCAAGTGCATCATTATATTGGATCAGTGCATTCGGTCTTAAAGGGGCAGCAACCTATAAATACCTGCTGTTCCATAAGCGCCACCTGCTGCTTTAAATGGAAAAAGCACAGCCAAAGCCTTAGTTTGTTTATATGAAGAGATTGATTTTATTTGTATTATTTAATTATTTGATTTGGGATTTGTTTAAAAATGTCAAGTTAGTTTTATTATTTGACACATTTCAATTTCACAAAAAATGTGCAGCATTTTGTTGGAGAAATAATAAAAGGACACCTTTTCATTTATAATTGTCTTAAATCTCATGTTGTTAAAAAGAAAAATTGTGAGAAAATTGGATTGTGAAATCAGTATCGTGAATCGCATCGCATCATGAGTTGAGAGAATCGTTACATCCCTATATGCTATTAGTTTTTGCTGTGGTATCAAAGTATTCTGTTATTTAAATAATAAAGAACCATATTTTTGTTGCTCATCTGCAAAATGATCCGATCTGTTACACAAAATCTGATATGATAATGCAATATGATCCGAGCTGTGGGTTTTGTGATCAGTTGCACCCCTACTCTCTTGACTTGTTATTTAAAGAAAAAAAGCAATCACTGAAGTTTTTAGTCATGCTGATTTGTCCGCAGTGAATTTCAGCCAATGTCTTTTTCTTTTTAATTCGGGCTACTTAAATTCATTTTGGGCTACCAAAATCTGAAGAATGTCTGCCCGAAGGGCTACCAGCGATTTTGAAATTTTGCGAGCCCGGTATGTGGTTTGTACTGACTTCAATTCTCATGAATAAGTCAAAGCCATTGCTTTAAATAGTGTTTAGAAGGATTATGCAAACTGTGTTCTCTGTAAAATCCATTGAAATCAAATTCAGTTAAAGGGATAGCTCACCCAAACATAAAAATTCTGTCATTAGTTCTGTCATCACCCACATGTCATTCAAATTCATAAGACTTTGTTCATCTTCGAACCACAAATAAAGATATTTTTAATGAAACCTGAGAGATTACTGTCTCTCCATTGAAAGTTCATTCCACCCAAACTTTCACACGAGGAGCATGCGGAGTGTGCACTCTCCTGAAGTCAACAACAATCTCCTTCGTCTTCTCCACATTCAGAGAGAGATTATTGCTTCTGCACCACCCGGCCAGGCGGCTCACCTCGCTCCTGTAGTTTCTCACCTCTGTTGCTAATGAGACCCACCATAGGTCACAGTCAAAACCTTAGTTTGTTTATATGAAGAGATTGATTTTATTTGTATTATTTAATTATTTGATTTGGGATTTGTTTAAAAATGTCAAGTTAGTTTTATTATTTGACACATTTCAATTTCACAAAAAATGTGCAGCATTTTGTTGGAGAAATAATAAAAGGACACCTTTTCATTTATAATTGTCTTAAATCTCATGTTGTTAAAAAGAAAAATTGTGAGAAAATTGGATTGTGAAATCAGTATCACATCGTGAGTTGAGTGAATCATTACATCCCTATATGCTACTAGTTTTTGCTGTGGTATCAAAGAAGAATTCTGTTATTGAAATAATAAAGAACCATATTTTTTTTGCTCATCTGCAAAATGATCCGGTCTGTTACTCAAAATCTGATATGATAATGCAATATGATCCGTTGCACCGGTTCTCTCTTGACTTGTAGTTTTTGCTGTGGTATCAAAGAAGAATTCTGTTATTGAAATAATAAAGAACCATATTTTTTTTGCTCATCTGCAAAATGATCCGGTCTGTTACTCAAAATCTGATATGATAATGCAATATGATCCGTTGCACCCCTACTCTCTTGACTTGTTATTTGAAGAAAAAAAGCAATCACTGAAGTTTTTAATCATGCTGATTTGTCCGCAGTGAAGTTCAGCCGATGTCTTTTTTTTTATTTTATTCGGGCTACTTAAATTCATTTTGGGCTACCAAAATCTGAATAATGTCTGCCCGAAGGGCTACCAGCGATTTTGAAATTTTGCGAGCCCGGTATGTGGTTTGTACTGACTTCAATTCTCATGAATAAGTCAAAGCCATTGCTTTAAATAGTGTTTAGAAGGATTATGCAAACTGTGTTCTCTGTAAAATCCATTGAAATCAAATTCAGTTAAAGGGATAGCTCACCCAAACATAAAAATTCTGTCATTAGTTCTGTCATCACCCACATGTCATTCAAATTCATAAGACTTTGTTCATCTTCGAACCACAAATAAAGATATTTTTAATGAAACCTGAGAGATTACTGTCTCTCCATTGAAAGTTCATTCCACCCAAACTTTCACACTTCAGGAAGTTCATAGAAACATTGTAAAAGTAATCCATATGAATTGAGCAGTTTAATTTAGGTTGTCTGAAGCAGAACAGATGCAATATTTTTTTTTATACATATAAACATTAAACAACGCTTATACATAGAGAACATCAAATATGCTAAACAGTAGCTGAGCTGTACTTGCTTGACACACAAAAACAAACCTCATTGGTTCTTGTTAGGGATGCAACGATACCACTTTTTCCAGTACTCGCCCGATACCGATACTTTTATTTTTGGTACTTGCCGATACCGAGTACCGATACCGATATTTTTATTGCATTTGTAAATTTTTTAAATATTGGTTACAGAAACCAAAAGAGTATGTATAATGTTAGTTGGTTAACTTCATTTATCAAATAGATACAGTCAAACCAAAATTTATTCAGACCCCTTCAACATTTCTCACATTATCACAGTTTATTCGCTATAGTTTCGAAAATGGTAATAAAATATGACAAGAACTCAGAGTTAAACTGTGTCAGAGTTTTAATCCAAATGATGCGTGTGCTAAGTGAGTGAACATCAAAGATCACACAACAGAAATGCGCGCTCTCTCTCGCTCGCGCTCTCTCTCGCTCGCTCTCTCTCTCTCCCTATACCGTTAAGTAACTTGTGCATTGTTTTACTTACTTGTTTTTGACATATCCGACCGAACAACAAACTTTCCAGTGATGTCTGTGAGAAAGATATATTCACTCGACAAGCTCGCACATCTGTTCCGCCGCGCGCTCAATCCACTGCTTTGTTCCGTGCTTTGTTTATCAGCTCGCGCACATCAGCTATACAGACGTTAATACTGAATGTTTAACATTATATTCATTGCATACATATACTTCGTAGTAGACATCCTTAACTCCTTTCTGCTGTCTGTTGTTCTTTTGTCGGTGTTTCTTTGTTTGAATATGGTGCTTATCACATGCTGTGTGGTATCGGCGTTTGGTATCGGGGCATTTTAACGAGTACGAGTATGAGTACAGGAGACCAGTATCGGGCCCGATACCGATACCAGTATCGGTATCGGTGCATCCCTAGTTCTTGTAGAAGCTTGAACATGTTTGCGTTTCACACAACAATAAACCTCACGTGTTGGAGCCTCCGTTTACCATATATATATATATTATGTGCGTTTATCAATGTTTAAATGTGAATAAAAGCCTAAATTGAATCATATAAAGCAATCGTGTCTCTTCAGAAGACTTGGATTAAACAACTCAATTCATAAGGATTTATTTTTATGATGTATATGTGAACTTTTTTAAGCATGATCGTTTTGGGTGAATGACTTTTAATGGAGGAATGGTAATCTGTTAGGTTTCGTTAAAATATCATCATTTGTGTTTCAAAGGTGAAAGAAAGTCTTATAGGTTTGGAACAACTTTAGGCTGAGTAAATGATGAGAAATGTTTTCTTTTTGGGTGAGCTAACCCTGTAAGTGCTGTCCCATCATCTCGCCACATCTTCTTCAGATTGCTTTGTTGCTGCAGATCACTGAATGGCCGTTTAAGAATGAAAAATCACCCAAAGTTCACACATGAATGAAAATTCAGTCATTATTTACCCCTCATGTTGTGCCAAACCTGTATGATGATCTCCCTTCTGTGAAACACAAATGAAGATACGTTGAGGATGGAAATTAACTGTTTAATGAAAATTAGTGAAAGTCTTTCATTATACAGTATGGATAAAAACCATTTTTAAGTCTTCTTTTGTGTTTCACAGAAGAAAGAAAGTTGTGCAGGTTGGGCAACACATAAAAGCGATGACAGAATTTTCATTTTTGGGTGAACCGACTCCTTAACCTTAAAGCGGAGATGGAATCATCAGGTTATTTCTGCATTTTTTGAGCTGATGGCCCCTGATATCATTATTTTGAGATTTTTCCTGTTTTCCTAGAATTTCCGGGGTATTTTTATTGGCAAATGCTCCTGTATACAAATAATATTAAATATAATGTCCTTCCAGGTGATCTATGGAGTTATGACTTCTACAGCGGAGAGTTTGTAGTGTCTCCTGATCCTGACACCCGTGTTGTGACCCTTGACCCTAAATGGCATCGTTACATCATTGTTGGCAGTGACGGACTTTGGAACATGGTGCCACCACAGGAGGCAGTGACTGTGTGCCAGAGCCATGATGAAGCTGTGGTATGAACAAATTTGTCCCTAACCATATGATATACTGCTATTTATGTTAATTTCTAAAAGTGTGTGTTTTACGCCCTACAGGCACCTTTCGGGATGTCGGTTGCTCGTCGGTTGGGGTGCCATGCATTGATGCGATGGCGTCAGCGGATGCTCCGTGCAGACAACACCAGCGTCATAGTTATTGCCCTTCCTGAGCCTGGCAAACCCCACCTACCTATGCACAGAGACGAGGTCATACTCAGCCTGGCAGAGGGCTCCATCACGCCACTCATCAAGGTAAAATATGGAAGAGATGCTACACTTTGAGAAGCAGTAGCAGGCTGAAGGAGTGTTTAGGAAAGAAATTCATTATTTTTGCTATTCTGCTTGTTGCTGCCAGTTGCACAAAAATGACACCCTGTAAGTTTCAGTAGTCATACTTATACGAATGAAATTTCACTGTTCTCTGTACTAATTTTGACAACAAAGCAAAAACTGTTGTAATACACTCCCTTAACTACTATTTTATTTAACTATTTGAAAATAAAAAAAAATATTTAAAATAAATGTTAACACTTTAGTTTAAGGACCAATTCTCACTATTAACTAGTTGCTTATTAGCATGCACATGACTAGTATATTGGCTGTTTATTAGTACTTATAAATCACTTATTAATTCCTTATTTCTGCATGACCATATTTTAGACCCCTTAATCCTACACCACACCTAAACTTAACAACTACCTTACTAACTATTAATAAGCAGCTAATTAGGAGTTTATTCAGGTAAAACTCTTAGTTAATAGTGAATATTAATAATAGTAAATAATCTAAAGTGTTACCAAATAAATGAAAGTAACTATTAATGCTAATAACAATTAAAAATAAATAATGCATTTAAAAGTTTAAATATTTGTTAAATTAAGTAAACATTGCTTTAAAGGGTTAGTTCACCCAAAAATGAAAACAGGCTGTGTTTCACTCACCCCCGAGGCATCCTAGGTGTATATGACTTTCTTCTTTCAGACGAATCCAGTCGGAGTTATATTAAAAATTGTCCTGGCTATTCCAAGCTCTATCATTGCAGTCAGCGGGTGTTGCATGCTTCAGTCCCAAAGAAGTGAAATAAAAAGCGCCCATCCATAAAAAAGTGTCTCACACGGCTCCGGGGGGTGAACAAAGGCCTCCTGTAGTGAATAGATGTGTTTTTGTAAGAAAAATATCCATATTCAAAACGTAATAATCACTTTAATCTAGCTTGCGCTAACACAGTTGTACACAAAAGCAGTTCCAGGCGGATGACGTATGAGTTCAGCGCTGCGCATGCGCCGGTGAGTCTCGTGAAAACCAACGTTTGTTAACAGGAGCAAAGGAAGCAAAGTTTCCTTACTTTAGCAAAGGAAAACCAGTTTCCTCTTCGCTTATATCGAAATCCTCTAACATTCTTCTTTACAAATCCTTGTTTTGTTCTTCTAATTAGTGACCGTTGTTTTGTTTTGATTTGTTTTTGTCCGCCTGGAGCTGCTTCCATTTACATCGATTCACTACAGGAGGCCTTTGTTCACCCCCCCGCAGCCGTGTGAGACACTTTTTTTAAGGGAAAAGTCAGTAATAAAATAAAGAACCAAAACACATCACAAATAGTAGAACAAAGAGTGCCTTTATGCTTATTAAAGCTTTTAAATATATTCAGCAAAATCATATTTGTTTAATGCACAGATCTGTTTTGAAATTATATATTTTTTTGTCTCATCCATTGCTATGATTATTGCTGTGTCAATAATTAATAGTGATAAAATCACTTCTACATTTACATTGAAACACTTTTTGCAATATGTGGCCATCTTAGCAGCACAAAAAACAAAGCTTTTATTCAGTTATTTATTCAAATTATATAAAGTGAGTAAAGAGCGCTCTCGTTATAACCACTGAAGCTGTCAATCATGTCATTTCAGCACATGCTCACTGAGTTCTGCACTCTTGTGGAATCTCTTATTATAATCAAAGAAGCTGGCTACACTGCACAGTGAATCTCTCATTTACATTGTGTCTACACTTTGTTGGTTATAAGGATAGGAATCGCAAGCATGCAGAACTCCGTTTTGAGATGCACTGGTTTTGAGCGGTGTTGAGTAGATTCTAGGGGTGGGAATCACCAGAGGCCTCACGGTACGATATTATCACGGTACTTGTGTCACGATACAATATTATTGCGATTTTAAATATATTGCGATATTCTGCGATATATTGCAATTTATTACCTTTTTCCAACTTCAAATTATGTCCCCAAAGGAAAACTGACAACATCTGTTTTAACTAAAAAGAAAAATTTCTCAGTTTGTTTATCTCACTCCAGTTTTATTGTTGCAGTGCAAAATGGGATTGTCAAGCAGACAAACTGACTAACACTTTCATGAAAACCTGTCATAAATGTTGTATGCACCTGTCAAACTCAATCATTTGTATTACAGTCTAATCTAGTCCACCTTAATTTAATGTAAACAGGTATGCACTGCTGTGCTACTACAGGTATTTTGAACAGTGCAACTTGAAATTGTACTAAAAAGTTGTGCAGACTAGGGCTGTGCGATTTAATCGAAATCATCATAAAATCGCGATTTGAGCTTGTGCGATTTCTAAATCGCTTTATAGCACGATTTTCCGTGCCCCCGACCTCCCGCAGTATGCTATCCGAACCAATCAGAATGCAGCACGCCTAAATGGAGCACGAGAACAGAACAGACCGGGCGGGCATACAAACGTAACGCCAGGTTCACACACTCCGTCTGTGGTGCGTATTTTTTCAGCGCCCATGTTAACAGATCAGAGCATTCACACTGCACGCGATTGCGGTCCGGCAGTGCGCTCCAGGAGCGGTGCGTCTGCAGCAGTCATGCTG